AGGACAGGTTTAAAATGTGAGCTTTTATAATACACAAATGTCTTTACGGGATTACATATTCGATTCTAGGGTACAACATGTGCTTCAAAAGTAGCTTGAATTCATACAGTCTAAGCCTAATAGAGGCTATATGCAATCAAATAAAGTAATATATTATTACTTTCTGGTGCTCCTAAACGTTTTTCACACGTTAAAGTGCTGTCTACTCACATGATGCTCTCCCCTCCCATCTCTCTTCTCTCTCTCTCTTCTCTCTCTCCCTCTCCTCCTCTCTCGTCTCTCTCTCTCTCTCTCTCTCTCTCTCCTCTCTCTCCTCTCTCTTTCTCTCTCTCCCTCTCTTCAGTCTGCAGACGTTCTCCTGGACGGTAACTGTCTGAGTGAGTTACCCAGTGAGCTGGGCTCTCTCCAGAGACTGGGCTACCTGGGCCTGTCCTTCAACCAGTTTACCCCACGTGCCCCAGGTGCTGGAGCGGCTGACCTCCATGGAGAGACTGTGTATGGCTGGAAACAGCCTGGACACACTGGTGCTGCAGAGCTTCAGACTGCTCCGGTTCAAACATGTCGACCTACGGTATGCGGCTAGATAGAGACACTCTTTATTCAGATCCTATCTCCAGTCACAGTGTATCCTCATAACAAGTAGGTAACAGGCTTTGCACCCAGCCCAAACCATCTGGTGTCCCATTTTTTCCCCACTGCATGTACAGTTATGGCAGATGCATGGAGACGTGGTCACAAGATAAACACCAAGCCTTTCGTCCATTCTTATGATCTGATCACAATGTACACCTAGCCGAAATCACGTCTAAACATCTGGTGGGAAATATTTAATCTGATTTTGGTTACAATCCAATCACACAATGCTTATAAACCCATCCATGTCTAGACACGTTTGACCGGAGTTACAGTATCTCTCTATTGCAAAACTCAAACAATGAGAGGAAACTATACTGTATGAGTCGAGAACCAGACTAAACAGACAGTCAGCATGGAACAGAACCAGGCTAAACAGACAGTCATATGAAACAGAACCAGGCTAAACAGACAGTCAGTATGAAACAGAACCAGGCTAAACAGACAGTCAGTATGAAACAGAACCAGGCTAAACAGACAGTCAGTATGAAACAGAACCAGGCTAAACAGACAGTCAGTATGAACAGAACCAGGCTAAACAGACAGTCAGTATGAAACAGAACCAGGCTAAAACAGACAGTCAGTATGGAACAGAACCAGGCTAAACAGACGTCACCAGGCTAAACAGACAGTCAGTATAAACAGAACCAGGCTAAACAGACAGTCAGTATGAAACAGAACCAGGCTAAACAGACAGTTCAGTATGAAACAGAACCAGGCTAAACAAGCAGTCAGCATGGAACAGAACCAGGCTAAACAGACAGTCAGTATGAAACAGAACCAGGCTAAACAGACAGTCAGTATGAAACAGAACCAGGCTAAACAGACAGTCAGCATGGAACAGAACCAGGCTAAACAGACAGTCGTATGAAACAGAACCAGGCTAAACAGACAGTCAGGTATGAAACAGAACCAGGCTTAACAGACAACAGTATGGGACAGAACCGGACTAAACAGACAGTCAGTATGAAACAGAACCAGACTAAACAGACAGTCAGTATGAAACAGAACCAGGCTAAACAGACAGTCAGTATGAAACAGAACCAGGCTAAACAGACAATCAGTATGGGACAGAACCGGACTAAACAGACAGTCAGCATGGAACAGAACCATGCTAAACAGGCAAAGACACAGAGGTCAAGGTACATGTTGCCTTTAACCACAGATCTAGGATCAGATGATCTCACAGAATCAGGCTAAACAGACAGTCAGTATGGAACAGAACCAGGCTAAACAGACCGTTAGCTTGTAACCAGGCTAAACAGAGAGTCAGCTTGGAAAGTCTCGTAATGATTACTATAGCGGTGTTTCTCCCTCCTGCTTGGCAAAGAGCAGACCTTGAGTGACTTAGCATTATTTGTCTAGTTAATACATCACTCCTCACAGTGTTGGGAGATAATAACTGAAGTGCCTCTACATCATGTTCTCAAGCTCAGGACCAAAGATCACACATGAGTGTAGATCGAGATGATGATGGTGAGGTGTGGTCTGTTCTGTTATTTTTGTCGGTGGGTGCAGCTTTTTCCAGTCTTGTACAGAAATGTATAAATGTGCCAAGTGTCAGGTCAGCTGGCACCTACAGTACCAGTCAAAGGTTTGGACACACCTACTCATTCAAGTGTTTTCCTTTATCTTTTACAATTCTTTACATTGTAGAATAATAGTGAAGACATCAAAACTATGAAATAACACATGTGGAATCATGTAGTAACCAAAAAGGTGTTAAACAAATCAAAATATATTTAATATTTGTATTTCTTCAAACAGCCACCCTTTGCCTTGATGACAGCTTTGCACACTCTTGGCATTCTCTCAACCAGCTTCACCTGGAATGCTTTTCCAACAGTCTTGAAGGAGTTCCCACATATGCTGAGCACTTGTTGGCTGCTTTTCCTTCACTCATCCCAAACCATCTCAATTTGGTTGAGGTCGGGGGATTGTGGAGGCAAGGTCATCTGATGGAGCACTCCATCACTGTCCTTCTTGGTAAAATAGCCCTTACACAGCCTGGAGGTGTGTTGGGTCATTGTGCTGTTGAAAAACAAATTATAGTCCCACTAAGCCCAAACCAGATGGGATGGCATATCGCTGCAGAATGCTGTGGTAGCCATGCTAGTTAATTGTGCCTTGAATTCTAAATAAATCACAGGCAGTGTCACCAGCAAAGCACCCCCACACCATAACACCTCCTCCTCCATGCTTTACGGTGGGAACTACACATGCAGAGATAATCCGTTGACCCACACCGAGTCTCACAAAGACATGGCGGTTTGAACCAAAAATCTCAAATTTGGA